CAACAGACACCAAACAGGACACAACTCTGCCTTTACAATAAATGCAAAACCTGTCAATAGATTTCCACTGCAACCACAGTCAACACCCCTCACAATGCTGCCATCACACTCCTACACGTCTACCCTAAACTGTGGTACAATTTCATCAACTACACCAAATGCCCCCATGGAAACTATGTGGGGGAGACCAGACAAAAACCACATTCCAGAATGAACAACAGAAAAAAATACAGGGGCAGACGCACAAGAACACAGGGAAGAGACCTTCCAAAGAACAACCATTCCCTTCCTGACCTCACAATCCTCATGCTCAAGGAATATTTATAAAAGCACTTTCAGAAGTCAGGCCTGGGAAGAAAAATTCATAACTTTACTGAACACTAACAATCAAGAACTAAACCCAGACATTGACTTTATGGCTCACTGCAATCAATTACAATGACTTCTGATCCCTGCTAATCTGTCTATGCTCCACAAATGGTAAGGACTCTCTCTTCCTTCTTGAATGGTCTTGCTCTTACACTAAACATAGAATCATAGGAAAAGTGGAACTGAAAGGGACCTCACAAGGTCATCCAGCCAGCCTACTACTCAAGGCAGGATTACCCCCAATTAAACCATCCCAGCCAAATGTCTATTCTGCTCTTGAAAATTTCCAGGGATGGAGATGCCACAACTTTTCTAGGCATCCTGTTCCAATGTTTGACCACTCTCACGTTCAGAAAGTTCTTCCTACTTCCCAATCTAAATTTTCCCTGCTGAAGTTTAAAGGCAATACCTCTATCCTGCCCCCTACAGCCACAAAGAAAAGCTCATCTCCACCCTCTCTGTAACCATCCTTTAGGTACAGGTTTCCCTCGCTTTATGCAGGTTCTGTATGTGCGAATTTGCTCTTATGCGATGACCCTTTTTATATCAAAAATTCATTATATGCAAGGTAAATTTACTCTTATGCAATCAGCTACTTTGTGTGGTGCATTGTGGGAGTGATGCGCACCAAAATATAGTCTCCTGTGTGCATCTGTGCTCCTCGCTCGTTGTCTGTAACACGTGTTTCTGTAGCTGCCATCCCCATTATGGCTTCTAAGCATCCCACTAGCTTATCTCCTACCCCTCTCTGCTGTTGGTGAGTACCAAAATTGTCTTGTAAAAATGGTAGAAACAGGTCTAGGGGTGGGTACAGTCGAGGTCTTGGAACATATCCCTATTTGTTGCATTGTAAAGTGGGTTCCCTTTATGTGAATTCAAGTTATGCATCGTTTTCCAGGAACATATGTACAGCATAAAGTGAGGGAAACCTGTATTTGAAGACTGTTATCAAATTTCCTCTCCTCCCCCTGACCCTCAGTCTTCACTTCTCCAAATTAAAACAACCCTAATTCTTTCAACCTTTCCTCATAAGTCTTGGTTTCCAGGCCTCTACTCATTTTTGTTGCTCCCCACTGAACTCTGCTGGACCCTAACCTGCTTATCCTTTCTACTGCCTCTCATCTACCAGTTACTCATGTTACTGTTTCTTCGCTCCTATTTGATAGACTCTCCCCGTTCCTTAAGCAGACTGTTTTTGAATACATATGAAGTTACACAGAAGCCATTACTCTATCTGATACTTAGTTCAAGCTATGTCTGATTCTCTCAAACCTGAGGAAGGGTACTTTGTACCCAAATGCTTGTCTAAATTATCTCATAACTATACAGTGGTCTAATAAAAGACATGATCCAAACAAATTCCTACCCCTCTCATATTTCTGGATCATCACAGCTACAACATCACTACAGCAGTAAAAACTTGTGACTCCTTTTCTGCCTTCAATAGTGTAACATCTTGCAAAAAGGCTTCAATGCCTTGTACAGAGTCAAGGACTGAGAAGAGACATGGGAAAATACCACACTCCAACAGGAGCAATGGACACCTGGGGCAGAAACACAAGCACTCTGGTCAGTTAATGAGTTGGAACAGTGGTTAACAACCCCCCGCACCCCTCCCTACACACACACCTCCTTACCCACCCTCCCACTTAAAAAAGAGTTAGGGAGCTCCTCCATGACTTTCTTGAATGTGATGGCACCCAAGTTGAGAACTGCTGTTGTACTACTTTGGCTTACCAGGCAACTCCTTATTAAATTACTAGTTTATTGGACTCTTAACATTTTCCTTTTCTCACAACAGCACAAGACGGCAGCTGTGCAACTGTTGGCTTCTGTCCATATTCATGTAAAAAAAACAAAAAGGACATCCCCCCTGCAACAACCCCCTTCCCTCCCCACCTGCCAACAAGTCTGATTTTTTTGTCACTTACACAAGAAATTCTCAATTAGCTGCAACAGAATTACCCCTGATGAAATAGCCATGTTACTAACACAGCAGAATAAAGTGCTATTCTTCTTTTTCCCTTTGTGAAAGGCTCCTGTCAATATGAATGGGATTGTTGTGAGGGGAAGAAAGGTAAACTACTGAATTAAATTAATGCAAATTGACCTGACGTGCCCTAGCTTATATAATACATTTTTCATCTCTTGGATTTACAGAAAGTAAAAGGTTGTGAACTCTTTAAAAAGGCATATTGTCTGAGTGCCGTAATGAACACTGTTTTTGTTTTTAAACGTAAGCATGGAAACACGATGTGCCCTGTCAACGTATCAGTATTCTCCTGTCCTTATGGCACTGGTCGAAGGTGGTGAACGAGGGTGCTGCCAACCCTGCAGCCAGCTACTTTTGAAGATGGTGATTTTTCAAGATACAGCATTGTTTTTCTATATAGCTCACGTCCTTTTCTCCATCAAAAACATTTATGTTTTAGATTCTTCTCAAAGGGGGAAGAAGGGGCAAGGTGGGACCAGCACACACTAGATTAATGGTTCTCAACCTTTTTGGACTCAAGGCATCCCCCACTAAAGACAGCCCTCCATAGCTGTTGTGAATTAAGTGGCACCCAATTTCAAAAACTAATTTATATATTACACAAGGGCTGGGCAGTCCGAGCAGGGAATTGTCCAGGCAGGGACAAGCTTGGCTTATCTGTTTGGCTCACCAATTTATCTCCTCACGCCTCGCTGACCTCCTCATATCTCGTGTTACCTTTCAAACAGTCTGGTGGCACCCCATCTCGACTGTAGTGATTCTCAACCCATGGACACTTGACAATTATTTTTTAAATCTCTCTCGTATGCTTCAGCAACTAGCCTGATACAAACATTAAGTCTCTCCTGGGAGGGTCACTGTTCTCCCAGGAGAAATCAGGTGTGTACAGATGTTCAGGCTTTTTCTGCCACAACAAAAATGGCCGCTTCAGGAGAAAAATAACCTGGGAATAACCAAGAGAATTTGTCCTTGGAAAGAGCAAATGTTTGTACATGCTATAGGTGTAAACACTATATGAGAATCCCCAAAGTAAGTTTAAGAAGAATTTACCTAGCTGCTAATAGGGGCATATCCCTTAATCCCCTCTACAAATCAAAAGGAAATAAATAAGTTTTCAGACCAGACAGGTTGACTATAATCATCTAATCTCATCTCCTCCTTAACCCAAACAACTCATAAAGGGGTTAACACATACATGCACATCCTTACCTTATGGATATATGAGAATGGGTAGCAAGGGAGCATCTGGATTATTTTAGGAAGGGCTTTAGTCAAATAGAGAATGAAAATTAATTACAATAAATTTTGAACTGTAAGATGTATTTTTTTCTTTCTAGAAGCAAGCCTTTGTTCATACTAATAAAAAATGCTATCAACTACCTGACTCAACATGTTCTATACTGCAAACCGTTATTTGCATGTACCATGTGGAAAAAAAATATTTATATTTGTATACCAGTTACAGTTTCATTCCATTTTTCCTGCTGGAAGAAAGCATCACATAATATTGTAAGGTCTTTTAACAAAAGGTGCAACAGAGAACCAAATACAATACAAATCAGTCATTTTGTACATGCTCCCAATAGATGGCAACAGAAGACCAAAAATAAAACTAAGTGCACTGGCTAATCCATGCTGAAGTTATACCCATTTCAATAATTTCTCAACAGACTCTACCCTACAAAAACTTGTAAATAAGTAATTTCACTCACATGAGTTAGCCCATTCCAACAATGGGATTACTCGGATGAGTAAAGCATAAAGGAACAAATGTTCACAGGACTGAAGCCACAAAAAACTTGGCAGAATTTTCTGTGTATATAGCAACCTAATCAATAGTTTGACTCAGAGCTAAAATGACAGAGAAAATGGTTACTAGTTGCAATACAAGGTAAAGAAATGTATGCTGCCTATTAAACAAGAATTTGCAGGAAGGAAAGTGAAATTATGTGGTTTACACACAAAAAAATGGACACTTTTACTTTTGGTCATACTGTGATACCTGAAAGTACTTACCACATATTTGAAAAAAATCTCATTTCTTTAGTTAAGGATTCACCTATAAATCCCCATATTTTACACATTGGTCACCTTAACTAACAACCCTATATCATTATGCAGTATGAAATCTTCTAAGAACTAAATAAGTGACGCCTGAAATGCAGTGTTTAAGATTTTATACACAAGAATTTTCCCAAACCTATTTTTTTTTTTAATTGCCACAAATTTTCAGTTTAAACTGAAAACTGGAAGCCCTGTTCCAAAGGGACAAAAATGACGGATCAATTTGGCTTTGATTTACCCGCCAAAAAGATCATCATTATATGTTGAATAATATGCATACACACATCATACTTCTAAAACAGCATGCATTTTGGAGCTTCAAAAAGCTTTATTTCAGAGCTGCTTTTCTGTGGTTACTTCCAATATTTTTTGTTTTAAAATAAAGCTTTCAAATTCATTGAAGACATAGGGAATCTTCTACACTTTCAATGAGAAATTAAGCTTAAAAAATTGAAACAAACATACCTTCTCCTTTAAGGGTGCCTGTACACACCACAGGGATTAATCCTCGTTAAATTAAACAGATTTATAAAATTTAAAGTTGTTTATTATGGAGCGTCAAATCAAGCCATACCTGCTTTCCAAGATAACCAAGTTAGGATCCAGAGAAATAGTTTCTGTTGTAATTTCCACCTTTCGTACACTACCAAAGAAGTCTGTTATCAGAACATTTTGAGGATCTCGCTGAAAAAGATCAGTCCTGTGCCCAGGTGTAGAAACGCACAAGCTTTTAGGACAAACCTGAAACTGGAAAACAGAATAGATACTTGTATCATTCCCCTCAGACTGACTAGATAAATTAAACACCCTAGAATTGCCAGAATATTGTCATGGAAAAGCATCTATTTCACTAATATCAACTACATGCAATTTTTTTCCTGCAGCTATTAAACAGCAATTTAACTGTAATTCTATTTTGTAATAATTATACATTTTAAAACCTCCTCCTCATGTCCCTGTAACTACCATTAACTCTAATGACAAATTAACATTAAAAATGAGTTGCATGTAACTCTCTTGGGTGGATGCAAACCATTAATCAGAATAAATATACCTCTGAACACAGATGCAGCTATGTTCCTATATAACTTCTGAAAAATAAAGTGAGGTGAGAGTCCTTCAAGTTCAAAGGGAATGAAGCAGGACTAAATAAGTACTTGCTCAGCTTTTGAAAGCTAACAAAAAGGCCATAAAAATGCATTAGATTCTTGATAAGAAGTCCAGAGTAGCCACATTTCCAATACTTACTTCATTTCAACAGCCTTCAAATTAACTATGAAAAAAATTACAAATATTAGAGGGTAATTTAGATTTGTGAAAGACCCTCTATTTTTAGTTGCCGTAGATGTGCCTGCAGTTCCCATAGCAGGCTATCCACAGATCACTCCCACCACTACACAGAATTTCAATATGCATCACTGATACTTAATGAAAGACAAAAGCCATTAAACAATAACAAGCTTATGTAGTTTTTACTTGTTCCCAAGAAATTCTGTATACAAAACATTCCACTGAAGCCTGGTGTTGGAAAAGACCAATTCAATTCAGTATTTTAAGTGGCTAAAAAAATAGCAATTTTACAAATAATACAAGAGATGTGATCCTAGTAGCTTGTGAAAGCAGAGGCACAAAAGGGACAGGGACACTTATGCATTATTTCTGGACAACCATCATCACGTTTCTAGGGTCTCAGATTATGGATAGGGTCCTTATTTCCTGGACCATCACAGACTTTCTTAAATTGATCTCAACAGCTCTGCATTCCTGTTCCAAATATTACACCAGGTTATCACTGAATTTTACATAAGATGTTTCTACAAACCTCTCTCTCTCTCTCTCTCTCCCCTTTTACTGGCAAAGAATGCCCAGTCCCTGAAAATTCATTTGATCATAAATACACACAACAGTGCTAAGGTCATGAAGGATACCCAAACTACATACCAACCAAACCACAGAGAACCACAAATGTAAACCAAGTGCATGATCAGAAGTGCTCTTCCCTGGAGTCAGTAATTTAGGGAAAGAAGTGCATACGGATGCTAAAAATGTATACTAGTTGCACACACAGAGTTCTGGATGTGACATGAAGCAATATTATTGTGAAGTATATGTATACTGATGTATGTATTACCTTGAATAGTATTTTGATCTATATAGTACTTTTCAGCCCAGGACCTTAGAATTTTTTAAGACTTATTCTTCTAACTGTAAAATGAGGACACTCAAAGAACAAGTGCCCTACCCTTACCACTAATGATTAAATGATTGATCTGCTGTAACTCCTACACCTTTATTCCCAGGTCTCCTTCCACCACTAATCAGTAGATATGGCTGCTTCTTCTAGGATACAAGAAATCTGTAAGCAAATAGAGCAAGTGCAGGTAGAAACAGTTATTTAGGTCACAAGAAAGCACTGAAAGGATTCTTCCAGGTACTTGCTGCCTTTAAATAATGACCCAAGCAACTTTTGGTAACAAAGGTCAGTGAAATCCATCTCTAAACCACAATCACAGAACATCTAAAAAAAATAATTTAAGGGATTGTTATAAAGCTTTTTATACTCCGCTGTGGATTCTTTACATAGTATTAATTTGCATGGAGTCTGGAACTCATGTATTTGGTCAAGTTACAAATGTTTCAAAATACAAGTTTTGAGAGGTTTTAAAAAACACATTTTCAGGACCATCAACCATTCTAGTCTCCTTTGCTAGCACACCATCACACGGCTGCTAAACAAAAGACAGGGAAATTTAATCTCCTTACAAAACTGGAGATGCAAAGAATTCAGCGACATCATCTGCTCCTACACAGAGTTTCTGCTCAGTATTCACAAAAGCCTGAAATAACTGCTCACAGATTTAATTTTTGGGTGTACAGTCTGAAACATTAGATGCCAGAATGTCACCTTTCTTCATCAAGACACACATTGTGATGCATCTGCTCCAAAATGCTGTTCTCAAATCTCAAAAGGCCTTGTTGACAGCCTGGCTACACAAGAGAAAAAGAGAAAAAAACACACAACTGTGATGTTTGCCATAATACAATCAGATGTTGAAAGAAGTTTAACAAAAGGTCTCCTTTTCTTCTCCAAGGACACATACTAAATAAACCAGGCTTCATTAATCAAGCCCATTGGCTTAGCTGTGCAATTAACTAGGATATATTTCTGGCCACTGTGAGTTCCAGATTTATTTTTTAAAAGCATGAAAAATACTGAAGGAGACAGGTGCCCACATTCCTCAAAGGTATCTTTGTTCTCCCCAGATCAGTATCCTGGACCTCACCATAATACAGCTCACCCAGCATGAGAGAGCTGTATAAAAAAAATGGAAGTTAACTTCAGCCACAACAACAAAAGCAAGGTAGACCACTTTATAAGACCAATTCACAGAACATACATCAAAGAGGGAAGACTGGTTGTAGGGCATGGATGAATTAAATTCCTGAGGTCATCTTGCCATCATGGGGTCTTCAAGCAAAAGAACCATCAACATCTGTCCTTAACCCCCAGAGAACACAACTTTATAATCTTTACAAATGTATTCCTATATAAAGCATATTTATGCCATTTTTCCATGACAGACAAGGTTCTTTGAGTAGATGTGATATATTTTAGTAGACCAACTAAGTAGATGGGAAAAAAAAAACTGGCAAGCTTTCGGGCACCGTCACCCTTCTTTGGGCATGGGGAGTCATTTTTTCCATGAAGTATTTCAGATGTAAGCCTCCCATGCCACCACTATACTACAACGCCATTGTACTAGGAAAGTTATACATCTTTTTAGCAATCTTGTATCTCTATTACATTAGTAAGAAAACAAATAGAAGATATAAATGATTCAACAAACTACCAATGACGTTTTTGAAGGCTGACACTCTAGCCTTTATATATTAGCCCCCAACTGAATTTCAAACCTGGTGTCAAAGGTTTCTTAATCAAAGTTGATTCCACTGCAAGTATCTTCAAAGACCTCAGAGCAAAAGCTGCTTACCAATTCCTCTTATGTTTGGTACTGAAGGCACGCAGTGGCAACAACTCTTATTTGAAGGCCTACTGAACTGCTTTCTTTGTAGTGAAAGTCGTGACAAATACCTTCATTTTACTCCTAGAAAAACTGACAAGGTAAAAATCCTCCCCTTCTCCCTCAACACACGCATTTTATGAATGAATGAAATCTGTCCAAGCAACTGTGCTAATACATATATAATTTAAAACACTCAAGGCAATGCTTCTTTGGGAACAACAGCAACTTTACTGCAAATGGCAGAACACTACCTTCCCTGGACAGTCCATTGCAAACCTCAGAGCGGCTGTTTTAAGACACCAAAACTTTAAAAATGAACTTGAACAGGAAACTGCAGAACAAAAATCACCCACAGACCAGACTTTAAGTATAATCTAAAGTAAATCAAGACTACAGATTCTTATCCCATTACTTGGATCAGTTTTATAACCCCTCTGCCCCTCAGCGGATTAACTACTTTTTTCTCTCCTACCTGCTTGGCCTCTCTGACCAGTACTCTTTTTTTTTTTCTCCCCCACTTCCCTACCTTTCATATTCTAGTCACTGCCTTCTATTTAGGAGATCTTCTTCCCACAGCCCCTTCACAGCATCTGAAGAAAGTAATTCCGCTGCTTACAAATGCTTGTACTATATCTTTCTGATTTGGTTAGTCTGCTAGATGCAAATCGACCCACCCTTCTGCAGCAAGTAGTTGTACTACTCCAGAAGTTTCCAGGGAAGTTGAGAGAGCAGCCCTTCTCTGTATTCCACTAGCATGCCAGCCTGTAGGCCACAAAACCAATAAACACTAAGGACTATGCACTATCTAACAAACCACAACTAGTTTGCTGCTACTAAATGAGAAAGGGTTAAAGTTAAATTAGCAATAACTCAACTGCTTCACTTATCTGATTATGTAAACACATTTTACTTCCAGAAGTATAAATTTTAGTCAAAGTCACATTACCAACATTCAGCTCTGTCTGCCATAATAAAATTCCATTTTTAAATTTCTAGGAATAGTTTTGCTTCCTGGGCTTCATGGGTTGGCAAAACTCTTCACTGACATTTTGATATCAGTCTAGAATATAAAAGCTGGAAGAGTTACAGGTGCCAGAAGGAATAGGTGGCTGCAAACATAATGAGCAAATGAATAACTCACTTGTCATACTCAATAGTTTCCAGGCAAAAGCTCATCCATGTAAACAATGGCGGGAAACAGCAACTATTCCAAGAAATAATGTTGGGAATTTCAGAAAGTCAAATCTCTAGACTGAATTACTGCAAATCAATACTGTTAAATCTCAGCATGCTTAAAATCATGCCAATGAGAAGTCTAAAAATTTTCAAAGGGAATTTATAAATTCAGAGCAATTCTTCTGTTGCAAAGCACTCAGAATGATCACAACAGGTCAGAATATTTTTGATTCCTAATTGAAATCTTTGGATTTATCATCTTGTGAATCATGGGCAGATTTTTGCACACCTAAAGGCATTATTGTTTAGCACCCTGTGGCACCCCTAAAAGGATCCCTTGGTACCAAAAACATGGTTAAGAATCAATTAATTAGATGGCAACGGGCCTTTGTAGGAATGCACCAATATAGATTTTTCTGGCTGATACCAATAGCCAATTTTTAAGGAGGCATATCAGCCAATACCGATCCTACTTCTGATACAGACAGAGAGCTGCATGCAGCTGGTAAGTCTGTTTTGGAGGAAGGAGAGGGGGGAGGGAAGGGA